CATGACACCACGCGACGGCCGATGTGGTATAAGTATTGTTAGTCCTGAATGTCATGGTTGTACGAGAGCTGGGATACTTCTAGGGCGCCCACACCTAGACAGGAGGACGATTAGAGTCCTCAACCAAAGCCCCTGGCTCAAAAGCCTAGCCGTAAGGCAGTGGTTTTTGTCGGGAAATGCTAGTATATTAGCGTTTTTACGGAACACGTTCCAACCCCCAGGACCAGGAGACTGTTCGTCAGACTTCTACCCATGGACCAACCTGAGTGTCGCCTTGATTAATACCGCGCGGCACTAGGATGTTCACATTAGAAGAGATTCACTATCACTCTATTAATCGTTCTAGTTGGGCCACGGCGTTTCTCTTAAGCTGCACACGCTGTGGCAGCAGTGGTCAAAACGACCTGGGAGACTCACAATGAGGTATCACCAGCTGCAGTAATTGGACTCTCTTGGACGTTTAATACCAGATCTTTCCGGTGCGAAACCTTATCGACTACCGATTGGACATCTCTTGTCCCGGAGGGTTCGTTGTTCGAACACATGTGTACGTCGACTGTTCCTGACCAGGCTTGGGCAGCCTGGCAGCATTTCAGCCCTCATACTTCCTTCCGGTGGTATAAAGCTGGACACCGATAGGGTGCTACAATTGAACGTTAAACCGTATACCATAGGCACATTGGTTCCACTTTCGATCAACGGAAGCTACGGCCAAGTCTTGGAAGCGATGACCTGTTCGGGTAATTCAGTAATTGGGTAGCTACGGATTGGTGGTGATAGCTTTGATGCACGAGCGCCACTGACCGCGCGATTGGGCCATTTCTGCCAGTGTCATTAACCATCACTGAGTTGAGTCCCGGTGTCCCTTCCCGGGAAGCGGCATTTTTCGACCCGACACAGTTAACTGGTTAGTGTTTTTATGCCTCATACACTGTCCACTTCTTGCGCAGAGCCATAAGGGCTAAAAATCGATTAGCTGTAGCACCCTTTCGGTGCCTAACTACCATGCCATCACAAAGAAGCACGAGGGATGAGATACTGCCAGGTTGACTAAGCCTAGACAGGAGAATTCGGGCTCCATCTTATTCGCGCACTGAGCCATAAGGTTTTGTTCGGGGATCCGACCTCTATTCTCTGACTCAAAAGTCTGAACCGCGAGACCGGTGGTTAGGGCTTTCTTGGGCACCGTTACCGGAGCTAATGGCTCACTAGTCTGACGCGCTTGGCTGAAGGCGGCTGGCCTGGCCCGAGGGCGCAGCTGCAGCCCATCAGGTGCCTTTTGAGCAGGATCGGACTCTTTGGTTTTAAAAGTGCTTCGACCGTACTAAATAATGCTCCGGCGGTCACGGCCAACCGTTCAGCGATCGGAATGTGCGGCTTTTAGGGTCGGTGTTTTGTAATCCGTCCTTGGCGGAAAGCAGCATCGCTGCTTCAATAAATATAGACATGCTGGTGGCCTTACTGTCTTCACAATTCTATCGCAGGGAACAGTACGACTTTAACTCCAAACTGCCTTGTGATACGATTACTCGCTGTTCTTCGTCGATCTGCTCCTGGCCTTCCTGGCTTGGTTGGACCTTAGGGAACTGAGTTCCAGTGTAGCCCGCAGGGTCACTGCAGCACAGAAGTCCGACCACCACGTCAAGGTGACAGCTTTAGGTCAGGATGCTTGGTGCGCACAGAGTAATCGTTCCCACATGCTGTACCACAGTGGCTAAGACTATGAGAATTTCGCCATATTACGTTTGCCTTTAGTCACTGTGCCACCCGCACTCCAGTCTCAAACTTAAATTCTCCAGAATCGCAGCTTAATTTTGCCGTCGTCACCGCTCACACTCGCCGTTGAAATGAATTATTCGTTCGCCTGCAACAGACAGTCATGCGTCTGTTCGTGATATGTCGCAAATCATTGGTAATTAGGACGCGCATGTTGATGCTTTAAGAGAAAAGTAACCATTCACCTGTAGCACCCTTTCGGTGCCTAACTGCTACGCCATCAGAAGGAAGCATGAGGGCTGGGATACTGCCAGGTCATTCAAGTCCAGACAGGGGAATGTGAGAGGCAGAGGTCGAGTTCCACCCAAAGACCTACCGGTCGGTAAATTTACGCTCTAATCAGTGGGCCATCTCGCTTCAAACGACCACCGCCATCTGGAAGTTCGGTCTGCGACAAGGCTGTAAGAATGAGGAGTGCTTGCTAAGCTACGCAAGTGTGAATCGATTCATTTCCACTCGGCTTTTTCACTGCAATTCACCAAGAGTTCAGCACTATTAGTCAAACTTGCAAACCCTATAAAGGCCTTTTGGCATAATTTATTGTGCTCCCGGTCCCCGGCTTACCGAACAGTACATCTAAATTCGTTTGGTGACTGCACAGTTCGAGGAGAAATAAGATAGATCGAGTATTTCAGTCCGCTCTTCAGTAAACGATATATCCAACCAGTGTCGTAGCTTCGCAGCTTGTTGCTTCGCTCAGCTGTAGCACCCTTTCGCTGTCATGCCAATGGAAGGCGGGAGGGGGTGGGATACTGCCACGTTGCCCAAGCCCAGACAAAAGCAGTCAAGATGCTTGTTTGAGTTTGGACCCCGGACCTTCCGGTTCATAAGCTGGTTCCTTAACCACTGAGCTGTCTAAACTAGCTAAAACAACAAGGAAGAGAGGGAACATTCGAGGCATATCCCACCAGTCTCTCTGGAACCCTTAACCTTGCGCTTTTTCTTGATCTATCCCGACGAGCACTGATGTTACTCGTATTGCAGTCTTTGAGTGTACAGTAAGAGTTGGAGTGACATCTGCTTACTCGGATTAGCAGCGCTGTGTAGCTCTCGTAGAATACCGGATTTTTGTATTCTCTAATGAGGACTTTGATGGTAGGCACTAAACGTACATATGAAAAGATAGGCGTTCATACAGTCGTTCACGTAACGCTTTTTCATCTTTGAAAGAGATATTTTTGGCGACCTGGAGTGGTTTCTAGCGATATTTCACTCAAATTCTGCTAGTAGAAGTAGAGTAGTTCGAACGTTCACAGGAAGGTTTTTCTCATTACCACTAGAGAGGAGTAACCGATTTACAGGTTACAGTATCTGAAGTTTGTCAGGAAGAACCAATTTTGGTTACTTCACCATTATTAATAACATTCGGTGCAAGATATCCACAGCATATATATAGCACATGGATTAAAACAATACAGACGAAAGGTATGTCGTTTCACAAACCCAAAGATGGGAATACAAACGTTTCAGAAAATTCACAATTTTCCCAACGCTACGTTTAGCAATGGGCCCTCAATGTAAAGCCTTACCAAGAGCGCAAGAAGGCCATACGGTATCCAGGGTGACTAAGAAGTATATATATATATATATATATATATATATATATATATCGTCTCTCTCCAACAGATTTCGCACCATATGTTGCTCTCATCCCATCATCCTCAGTGGGCGAAGCTTTAGAAGCTAACACCATCGCCCGCCCATGGCATCCCATCATCCTCAGTGGGCGAAGCTTTAGAAGCTAACACCATCGCATTCCCGCCCATGGTTTGGGAGCAGAAAAACTAGCTATGGAAGCGTCAGTGGTATTTTATGTAGCTATATACTATATTGTCCCCAGATACGTGTATGGAGCACCGAGGGAAATCATCCATTCATGACAGATGACCGGTACAAATGTGCAGTAGGTATTCTCGGAACTTTTTCTCAAATATGCAGAACTCCGCTTTTAGTTCCGCCTGTTTCGATCATCTCTGATAATCCATTCGGCTGTGCCAACTGCGCTGGCTCCACCGTGTGCTCCGTATGCCAGTTAGCGGATTGTCTCGTGTCCTCTTTGTTGAGACTTCCCGTCCGAAATGTCAATAAGGTGGGCAGCGCATGTCCTGGAGGCAAAGCACAAGAAACATAACAGGTTTCGGCTGCACTGGTGTATGTTGTCTGCGGTGTGGGGGTACCAGAAACCCACCACGTCGGTGATTGGAGGCAGCCACTAATACGGTAATGCCACACAACCATTGGGCTCTCGTGTCTAACCAATAACCCACCGTCCTCTGCATCTCATAACAGTGACCCGAACCACTATGCGGTATACGTCTTCAACTGCATTGGCCTCGCAGACAAATTGAACTTTAAGGTGTTCGCTAAGTCTTGGTGAAAAAAAACATTCAGTTGTGGCACTCTTTCGGTAGCTAACTGGCATGCCACCTGAAGGAATCATGAGGGATGTGATACTGCCAGGTTACTCAAGCATAGACAGGAGAAGTCGAGATGCAGAGGTCAGGTTCGAACAGTAAATTCGCACTCTAACCACTAAGCCATCTTCGTAATTAAATAATCGGTGTTTGACTGAGGGGTTTTGTCAGGCACTGGTTACTTCAGCCGTAAATCACAGCAGTGTTGTCTAGCATATTTAGTAGCTGAGGTTACTATTGTTGTCGTCATTTTGATGTACTATTATTTATAGTTGGTTACAGGATTTGTGGAATTTATGTTCATTTTCCTCTGAACAGTCCTCATGTCCCGGTGCAGCTATTCTTGTTCATCTGTACCAAAGCGAGGGAGCATTGGACCTGAGCTTCACTCTGCGGGAGCGTTCGACAAACGGATAGCATCGCTAAACCGGAGTACATTATACTTTTCAGGTGTATCCCGTGTAAACTGATGTTACACGCTCGCTCCGCATGCCGAACTTTGGGGGGGGGGGGCGTTCAGATGTACACTGTTGGTGAACTCCACTAAGGGTAAATCCCGAGTCGAGTGCTTTCCCGCTTTGGTGTGGATAAGCCAGAAATATCGGACCGGAGAAGACAGTGATGCGAATTCATTTGTCTGTATTCTTACAATTATATCTGTGGGCTTCGCAAAGCTTTAATAATGCTACGAACTTAATGCATACTTGTTCTGGTGTTCGTGCTGCCATATACTAAGTTAATCGCCTTCCTGAAGCTCTACACCACTGTTCTGCGCATTTGTTTTGCCTTTTGCATCACTCTCCGTTTCAGTAATCAGTCATGGTAGTCCCTATGTGACTGCTTCACTTGGTCAGCAGTTTACTCCATTTGGCGCCCCTATTCTTACACTCAACCCCAACATCGTGCAACCAATGACCGGTCCACCAGGCCTCACTCCTGGGGGAGTCAACCAGCTTGGTGGTTCAAGTGGTCCGTTGACCAACTTAACAAACTCACGAAAGCCATGCAACTGCACGAAGTCTCATTGCCTCAAATTATACTGTGAATGTTTCGCACAGGGTCAACTTTGCCAAAACTGCAACTGTCACAACTGTATGAACAATTTGGCCTATGAGGAAGAACGTGGTCGCGCGATCAAGATGACTTTAGAGAGAAATCCAACCGCGTTTCATCCGAAGATAGGTCGAGGTGAAGGAGAGAGAAAACACACAAAGGGGTGCAACTGCAAACGCTCCGGTTGTTTAAAGAACTATTGCGAATGTTACGAAGCCAAGATTAGCTGCTCGGATCTTTGCCGCTGTCAGGGATGCCGAAACACTGAAGACAGTGTAGAAAGACGGTCGTTGATGCGACTTGCCGCCATGGGTTCATTAAGGTCACGACAACCGTCCTCTTTCAAGAAGCACCTTTCCAAGCCCCCTCCAGAAACGTAAGTTTCTTGCTGTTCGTCTTCGACTTCCTTTTGTAGCCAGCCGCTTCATGTGTGGAACTTCGTGCACACGTTTAGTCTAATTTACTACCACGCCAAGTGTACGTGATTTCCAACGTTATTTATCTGTCATGCAACCCTGGTAAAATAACCATACATCACACTGAGCGATGTCATTCAGTTGAGTTCTGCAATAGATCAGCACGGTAATCGGCGACGAATAAATGTGTAGCCCCACCGGAAGCCCGAATTGAAGAGCAGGTAAATAAATGGATAATCCGTGTGTGATGGTGTGGAAAAAAGGACAACTAAGCTGACACATGAGCGCCATTTTTCTTCATGTCTCCTTACCAGTATCTTCCTTTGGTGTTGCAGATACCGGCCTCGAACCGGTTCGGCCAGCAAATCTTTTCGGGTTTCGTTCCCAGATCACGCCATGTCGATTTCTAAGATAATGGGGTTCATAAAACGACATGAAAAGTAAGATTGTGTAACAGATTACTAAGCTAGCCTAATAGACAGCAATAGTTCTACGCACTTCAATTTTGCCATCATGAAGTCCTCATAGGGTATCAAATCTCAAGGGTGAGCACAGTTATCACGCTTTTCATAAAAACGATAGTGAGTACACTGCAGTCGAAGAGCTGCTGGAGATGATTGGCACAGACAAGGGAAATCTCTGGGCGAATTCTTTCATCCAGACATGACCAGTTTGAGTCCCTCACCAGAACCGCAGAAATTTGAAGGGCACTCTGAATCGCTTAGAAACATTTGAACGAAACGGATACCCGGTGCAGCGAAGTGGTCTGGATTTACTGCGTAAAGTGGGTGCAAAATTATGAAGCCTTTGGGTAACGTTATAAAATGACTGAAAGCTAAGAGGCTTTGTTGCCACCGATCATTTCTGCGTTAAACTTAGCTGAAGGACGGTATATGTAGCGAAGTACAATACGAAAATCCGTCCGGTCACGCGCCTCAATAAAACGATGGTATCCACGGCAACCACTCTAGGGAATCATGGAGGACATGGCCCAATGGGAACATGGCGAGGTAGTGTTCGAGGATCTTTTGGTAGAGGCATCACCCAAAAGTTGTTTTTATCCGGTGATATGAAGCACGCGGCCGTCCGGAGAGGCAATACCACAAGACGTACTTCAGCATTGCTAATCCGGTGTTCCCACCAGACCCGGGCAATGATTCGAAGGCATAGATGGTCAAACACTGAAAGTCTTTTGACTTCCTCGGTTCGCAGCGGCCAGGTTTCAGATCCGGTGAATTTGCGCCCCAATCACAGACATCTCACCCCCGCATCGTATTATAGAGCATCCTGAGGTGACTGAAAAGTATAAGGGTAGTAAAGTCCCATTAATAGGACTAATAGGCTAATCTTTGGATCCATGTTCCGCCTTTTCTTTGTAGACTGCCCCACGCTTTCTTTACATGGGAAGTCATTGAAGCCACTGCCGGTTGCCTGCTCGCGCAGGCGGAGGAGGCCGAAAGACGTGATTTGGCTCCAGCAGCCCAGGAACGCATTGTCCTCGAAGAATTCGGTCGAATCCTCGAACGTGTAATGGATTCAGCCAGCAAGGTTAGTGTCACTTATATTTTCATCATCCAGAAATACAGTGAACGGGTTTTCACAGGTCTCATGTGGTCTCAGTGTAATTATGTTGTATTGAACTCGTGCCCCTTTCCAGGCTCACATCAGGACTGCTAGTAGCATCCAAGATGACGACAGCGAAGAATCTGAACAGCCTCTTATTCACGCTCCTGTACCAACCGTGCAATCAGATTACACAAGAGTTGGAGGTTCCAGAACAGTCGGTGCAGCTACTGCCTCAGCAGCTGCAGCTGATGTTCTCCTGCGCGACGATGAAGATGATGATGACCTGATGCAGGGTATGGATGACCATGATCAAAGGAATGTAGATGATGACATGTTCGAGGATGACGATGATATCGACCCCGGACGCACACCACATCACGCTCATCCCCCGAGACATACTCGCCAAGCGGTAAGTCGGCAGGGTCTCTCGTCCTCACGGAACAGGTCATCACATGTCTCAGACCTGCTGGATGAAAGGATGATTAGTGATGATGACTCCGATGAAATTCCCAGCAAGCATCCCGGGGACATATCGCAAACATACAGACAAGTTATACCCTCTCGAAACAGAACCCACTTACCCGAAACCCGCTACCGCTCTCGCCATTCCAGGCGACACACCTCTGGTACTCGTGGACATGAACATCACGACCCGGATTCAATCATTTGATGTGCCCGCTTCCGCTACTTTCAATAACAGGTGTCTGCTGTACACATTTTCTTATGGAGATCCGTGTAACTACTCCCAAATTATCATGTCCCTTGCTTATTCTTCGCCAAAAAAATTTTCAGTTGCATACATACTGCGTTTTATTAAAATCACTGTACACGAACGGTAAGTTAATCCATGACATTTTGGTAGACTAGTTTTCCTACTCGTATATACTCAGCTTTCTCTGTGCTGGACATCGTTCGGATATGTGCGGATGTAATACTCGCATATGGTAATTTTTGTCCTCCAACCGTTACGGTGAACTTGTCCTGTGTTGGACTCTCTAAAAAAGTGGAGATATAATGGTACTCATTAGATACGAGCAGTAAATTAGTAGACAAGAACCGAATAGCCATAAACATGGGTAACTTAGCGAAATATACTCATTTGCAAACAAACTCGGTTTTGCGAGAGACCCACCTGGATCTCTCTTTTGTGATGTTTCCAGGCAACCGATAACTTACCTTCGGGAGAATCCGCTGTGGACGATGGTGGTTTGGTTGACGGGATCCGTGCTAGAGATAAAATGGAGAGGTCTGAAAACTGGTTCCGTAGCTCGAGTGCAGTCCACGGCGCTCGAAAATAGTCATCAAATAGACAAAAAGCCGAACTCGAAGTAACAAAAAATATACTGAAAGGCAATAGTGTAGTAAATCTTTCTTATGTTACTCACCCAATCGATGTGGGGACGTGTCCAGGAGAAAAACAGGTCAGTTTAATGGGCATGCTTAATCTCCTCAGTAGCCTTCAGTTATCTTGAAGGGCGTTACCAGTGTAGTGATGTACATGAGTTACCCTGCCAGCACTTGGCATGGATACTGCTGAATGCTATCGAGGACGTTGTGTCTAGATTACGCTCACTTTTAACACATCTGGTTGCACGCGACAGCCGACCTCAGTCATCATCATTGACGGTGTCCATCTATTATACCTATGACCGTAAAGCCACTGCAACCATCAGTGAATGAAAGTCGGAAGATGGATCAAAACTTACCCTGTACTCTGCACATCAAACTTGAGTGAATTGCCACGCTGTAGTTGACCTCAAGAATAAACTAAACGCGTTGAATTGTATGCATGAAAGTCAAACTTCCCACTCGGGAACAGCTTGATTGTTCCCCAAGAGTGTTGTGCATTGGGGAACAACTAATATTTGTCGTAATTCCTTATTACGTTAAGCGGTAGTGCAATGAAAACTATACTGAAAGTCACTAAGACCTCCTTAGTAAGGGCACTTTTTGCTTATTCCCTATAGTAACCGGTTGTGGTTAATAGTGTCTGGGCGGGTATGTATTACATTCATTTGCCCTATCCAGCCACCCATAGTTTGCCTCTTGAGACCACCTGTCCACAAAGTGCGAAAATTTACATGTGTATCCGCCTCCAGTCATTCTACTGGTCGAAATTCTGTGAAACCGTCGTTCCGCGCATAAGCTTCTTTTAGAATCTCTGGTTAAGCGCAAACGGTTTTATACGCGATAGGCTGCTACTTCCGTCCTCATCCTGACAAACCCTTGTGACGACTAAATAAGAATCGAATGGCGGATTTCGGTGCACCATGTGTTGCCCCTCGCAGGCGTTCTTATCTGGATAGCGCCATCTTACATTGTACACGATGGCCTTTATTCAGACCTACAAATCGGGTTCAACCGCAATGCAACGATGGGTAGTTAACCGGGTGCCAAACACTCTCCTGGAACATTTGGCACTGAGCAATGGTTTGTGCGACATCTCAGATATTGAATTTGAACGAAGTGGCACAGTCTTTGGATATCTTTACAGTGAGAGATCGCCATGGTATGAGAAGTGCGTAGGTCAGTAGTGCTGAAGAACTACCGTGCGAACAGAGGAAATGAGGTGAGGCAAATACCAGGTCTGTAAGAAATAACAGCTAAAAACAAATGCGCTCATCAAGGTTGGTCTTTATGAAAAACGCTTCTGTATACAAACGGTCGAAACAGAAAAAATCTTTCAGCTGTAGCACCCTTCCGGTGCCTAGTTGCCATACCATCCGAAGGAAGCAGGAGGGCTGAGATACCGCCAGGTAGTTGAAAACTAGATACGATCAGTCGAGATGTACAGCTTGGGTTCGAACCACAGACCTTCCTGTCAGTAAGTTCGTGCCTTAACCACCGAGCCAATTTGGTTAGAAAAGGTTAATGCGACCCTCCAGGCTGAATTTTAGCTATGGACCAAGTAGGAGCGAGATGGTCCAAGTGGTTAGAGCGCAAATTTACTGACCGGGAGGTCCGTGGTTCGAACTCCACCTCCGCCTCTCACCTTCCCCTGTCGTGGCTTGAGCAACCTGGCAGTGTCCCAGCCCTCGTGCTTCCTTCGGGTGGTATGACAGCTAGACACCGAAAGGATGCTACAGCTGAACAATATGGACCAAGTAACAAGTACAAGGTCTGATTTCAACCGCCCGATTTGTGAAGCCAACCAAAGTTCAAAGTTTCATGGGGCTTCGGCGCCTAATAGGTGTGGTGAGTGAGTGTTTCAAAACATTCCAATTGGGAATGACGTACCCGAAGGTTGCATACTTTTGCTGGCAGTGTGCGACGATATCCCTCGGCGTTCGTGAATCAGCAACAACTGCATTATGTCACCACTTGTTGCAGAGGAAGTTGGGTTAGCTGAACCGGACGCGTCGGAGGATGTTTCCTTGAGGCTCGTGGCTCCAAGTGTAGAGAACCCGGTGGGAACCCGACCAGGAGTGAGGGTCTGTGTCAGCGAGTCGCTCAAAGTAACGCCTGCTCCCATCGCCGGGGTGAAGGCGTTATCTGTAGTGTGTATGGGTGTAGATAGTGGGTGGACACCCGGACCCCGATCCAAGTCACCAAGACCTCAAAAAGGTGCACGGAATGAAGACGTGAAAAAGTCTACTGCAGGTGTGTTCAGGGTTAATGTGAAACGCTGCTGTAGCAAGTGCATGAATAGAAAAACTTGATAAGGCGGACAGCCATCATCAGAGTAGCAAGCGTAGACTGCTCTGCAGCTTATGTCAATTTTATTGGGTAAAGCCATTTAAGGGGAGGTATGGTACAGAAGTTTGGTTCAGGTACTAACCTGCTGCAATCACTCCCAGGTATTCAACAAAGACCCAGGGCGCTTGAAAATAAGCGCCCCAATCAGACAAGCGGTACCCCGTAGTTCCCTTGCGCATGCGCAAAAGTCCGCGGGCACAGACCACGTGCATGCCAGACGTCCGTCTCATGCGATCAGGTGGATCATCTTCACTATCGACAGCATGATTAGTGGATGGCACAAAGAAAAACGATCACATCGAGATGGCTTACAAGCTGATGGACCAACCCCTCTTTTAGTATCTGGACAATGTTCCGTTTTGAATTTTGCATCAACTAAGTCCATTTATAGTATATTATGTGTCCATGGAGTGCAGAATGCTATGAAAGCCACCCTGAATTGATCAAAGCAATCAGTCGATTAACCAATGCAATGCCTTCTCCGTTGCAGCAGCTTAGGCTGTCGCCAGATGTTGGTTCGTTTGGTGCCTGCGCAACTCGATTCCAAACACCTTTTCGATCGAGGTGGCATTATCAGTAAGTCGTACGACAAAGTGGTGTGGAGCATCAATGAGTGTGCGTGTGCTCATATATTTAGGGCTTAGCGATTCTGTTGGTTGACGGGGAGGCTCAGATTCTGATGGGCTGAAGTTGACGCAACTTTTGAGGTCGGTGTGTGCCATCCATCTGTTGGCCGGGTGGACTACGACCTCGTTCATCCGGTCAGTTAAAAAGGAAAGGTTATCGGTTACCCATTTCGCAGAAGCCGTGCCACATTAGTGAACATTGCTTAAGCTTGAAAAGGGAGAAAAATGCTGGCCCAAAAATATGAGAATGAGCTATCACAAAGTCGATTACTAGTACTAGAGCTAGAGGAGAGATCTGTGTTAGGCGTCAGTATCTATTTCCAAATCTTTATTCCCCAGGCGTGTTCGTATTATCGAGACTGGCGGTCAATTTGAAAACTCGGTATGGTTTTTGAAACACGACATTATCCATTCGGCCACGAATGAAATGTCAGCTATAAAAAGCTCAGGTGCATGTGGCGCATGCACCAACTGCTGTGAAGTGCTCTGATTCACAGCACTCAAAATTGATGTTTTCTGGGCGGACAGCGGCCGTGCTCAGTAGAACTGGGGATGGAATCACGTAATCTTGCACTTTGAATGAAGCCAAGTGATCTTCGGGGATGGAAAATTCCATTTCGATTGATTCTGTTGAAGCGCAATGCTGAAAGAATAGTGAACACAATGGTGCGGTAGTAGCCGTAGAATGGCTTCGGCTGCTTGTGTATGAAAAGCAGCAGCAGAGCGCCAGTATTAAACATGCTGTCGATGATAATGAGGTATACAGGATGAATTTGTGCGTTGCAGTTATTCCTTCGCGGGTAAGTCGGAACGGACGGATTGGCCGAATTTTGGCAACCGCTTATGAGGTGTTCGGACGGGGTAACTTGGCTAACCAACAAGACATCTTTTCTCGATACTATTCATAAGATCACTAGAAACCCTTCGACAGCCCACAATCGGTTTCACCCTTCTTGAGACTCATCATATAGGCCGAAGTTTTCATTAAAATGTTTCACTTGGACCACAAATAGTACGAAATTGGCGAACTTCACTCTGCGAATCATATTGGTGTTACCGAAAAACCCAGCTGACCTTCTCGTTCAAATACGGCATCATCATCATCGACAGCATGACATCAGTGTTCAAGGCCGATGCTTCACTGCCGTACAACCGTGACTTATTTGAAAGCCTTATTGTAAAGAAAAGAGTAAAGGTGGACGGCACACTTGTAGCAATCTAGAAAATATGTTCTGATGTCTCGAATATCGTGCCAACTGAAATGTGAGTTGGCCTTTGTACAGTATATTCAGTTCTTATTCTAAAAAAGAGATTCCTCGAGTCCCACATTATGAATTCACAACTGCGTGCAATCGTCAGAGTAACAGCTCCGAGTCTATATATCACGATCCAGAAAGTAGGCTATCGTACTAGGACTTCGTTTTTTGGTTAGAACGAAAAGAACCCCATTCAGAAATGGCCATCACTTGCTATTCACTCATGTGTAAGCAAAGTCCTCAACAACCCCCATTTCCACGGACATTTGACATTACTACATTTTCGTGTAGTGATGCGATGATCCTCACCGCAGTTTAGCCACACGAATGCCTTTCCGGCATTCGTATTCCGTAGACATGTTGTTGCCATTATGATTAAAATATGGAGGATTCCGACACCACTCTACTTGTGATAAGTCTTGGATAACAGTAGGCTGGGGATAAACTAAATTAGGGCAAGGGTAGCGCAGCCGGTTACTTGTGCTATTTGCTTCCCAATCGCTGCAGGGGGCATGGTTCGGCCGTGATGCTAGAAAATATGCATCAAGAAGTGAATACATACAAAGGCGCAGTGATGAACAGATAAACCTACCAGCGGATTGACCTGAGTTGATGGTGCTGTCACACATCCAAATAGGACGTTGTTTAACAACTGGAGACGATACACTGGACTGACCGCTCAGAACAATCCTAACTTTGTTCTCGGCTGCCACAGTGGGTGTTGAATTCTGCTTATTATCTGTCTCGGCAAACGGCCTGGTTTCCCAGGGCGGTTTGGTGGTGGTGACCGCGTCCAAGGACCGTTCGGATTCCTATATGAGTGAAATTAGAGAAGTTTCATAACGGATTCGGGGATGATTCCAATTCGATAACTATCGAGGATTCCAGTAGGTTCGCTGACGAGAAACCGAGTGTAACTGTGAATGAGTAAAGCTGTGCTCTCTCGACCGATATGTTACATGTCTACTAGCTAATGGGCTTGCTGTGTCGGTCCAACGTCCTATCGTCGGTCATCCAATGACTTCGTCCAAAATGTTTCGCTCGAGAATTCCGAAAAAACAGTGTTATTACCAGTTGTTGACAGCCCACACCGAGATATAAGCTGACACGATCAAAAGAGTTGCCCACAATAAATACTTACCTGGTAATCGTTTTTTCACCAGTCGTGTCAACTCAACCTGACTGGAGCCTTTTTCTGATCACACTGATCTCTCTAGGGCTGCACTGACGGAGGGAGAAGTCCCCCTTAGTTCTTCGGAATGGAGGGTATGCTTGCTACTGGTTTTCAACCACACAACGTAGATCACCTGGGCCTAGCTAGGAAGACTGGAAAATTCCGCAGCAGCATCACAATGTCATGGTTTGTCCCCTATGAAAATCTCGCTAGCTATGGTTTGGAATGGAAAGCAACATTTCCTTCGGTAGACTGTGGTTCGGCAATACATATCCGAACCAACTTATTTGGAGCTACAGTGATTCTGCTTCGTTACTAAATATTCGCCCGCTCCGTTGCGTGCGTGCTTCAGACACCTGATTTATTCTATTCTACAAAGACGCCAGTTATCGAATGCTGGAAAACGTTTCGGGTCTTTAGATGGTAGGAGCTGAGATTCGTAAACATGAAACGATGGTTTTGTATAAACGGCCCTTCGGCTTCAAGTAAGCCCACTTGTAACGTTATAAATCATGCAGTTTGGAAAAAATGCTTGCGCTCTGCTAACGTGTGCATTGACTTCATCCATCATGGGATGATCACGGCTTATGCAGCTGCCGAGAAAACAAACCGGTTGGCGAACTCCAGTTTCTCTTCCCGTTTCAGGGGCACAGTAGGATTGGAAATCCTGAAACAGTCTGTACTCTGGGAATGCAAAACGAACATCTAAACAGGTGGTAACTTCCGAAATTCTGTTTAGGGCACACTGTGTGGACTGTTGATCATCAGACAAGACAACGCCCGCGTGTTTCAAGTTACCCGTTCTTCCTTTGTACATAATCTCGATACCAAGTATCTCGATCCCTTGAAGTGTGCATTCAGTGCTAACATCGATGAAAAAATTGAACGGTAAAAGAGAGGAGACATGACAGGCTTGCCGAATCACAATAATTCTACGAGAACTTTTGGACAGTTCGTTGCAAAATTAGGTGACCAGAAGTGTGGAAATAAGGGACCGAAGTATATCTACAAATTTCAAAAGCAGTCCCTTTGGTAGGAATGACCCGTCTACGGAGTCCAAGACCCCACTGAAGTTGAGCAAAACCGCAACTGCTGGTTGGCTGTATGTGTGCGGCTGCTCAAGCATTCAACGCAATGTGACAATATGATCAATAAATCCCCCGATCCAGATAGAATCGTGCTCGAAGCTTTTGTAGTTGAAACATCCGTACCGGTGTGAAGCATCACAGTCTTATTGAAGCTAGTAACCGTTGTATGACAGACGTAAGATACATATCTCTATGGTTTATTTGTGTGTACTTCTTTTCAATACAGGTGTAGTGATTAACTGGTCTGGGAAGCACTCTTGTTCCCAAATAAATCGAAAAATTTTTAAGGCAGAACATATGGATTCAACACCGCTGTTGGAAGCCCATCTAGCCCGGCAGCCTAATCGCACTCCGCGGCAGAAAGGCACATCATTACTTCGTAAACTGAGGAAGGATTTAAACCCACAGGCACACACGGATCCAGGTGAGCGGCTCGAATGAAAAACGTTGGTGGCCAGTTAAATGGCTGTTGAGGATACTCTACCCAGCAATCTAGCATTTATCCTGTACTATACTCCCAACTATATTTGACTAGCTCCTGCATTCCGTCTTACGGATGAGGCGAAAAGATTCCGTGTACTTTTGAAAGAACATTAGTTATAATACGAAAGATTCAGCCAGAATCCAGTTGAGTCTCCAGCTAAAACTAAACTGGTGTGCAAAGGAGTGGGGCAGCTAAGCACTGCAACGGCGTCGACTGCAGCTGAATCCAGTACCCTGAGAAACAACTAGTCGTCCGTACAAAGTTGTAAAGGACATTTACCAGTGTCAGTGCGCCTTGTGTCTAAAGTAAACAAGCTAAGTGATACCTCAGATGAACTGACGTACCGTAACTGTTCACTGAGATCTCTCGCAATTGGGACTATAGCTGAACACTCCGCGGTAGATAAGTTATTTCTCGCTAAAAATCCTCTCAATGAACCAGAGCTACAAATGGTCTATGCAGAAACTATAAACAAGGGCGTCCTTTATTCTAAATAATGCGAGACCCTGTGGAAGTGAACGGGCAAATCGGGCATAGTCGGCTGCTCACATGATTCCAGTCGAGCAAGGAGGAATTAGGCCAGTGCAACCAGTTGCGGCAGTCGAGGTTTTTCAGTCAACTTTTAGGGAAGATTTTGCCGCACTTATTCCACCCCCAGCCTTAGAATGTTAAGTGGCTGTGATTGCCAGAGCTCTGTTCATTGACCAATCTTCCAGGAGAGACTCTGTGGATGGTGCATTAGGATCCTCTGGTACAACTCAATGGGTTGCTAAGGGACGTAAGCCACCCAACTGCTGTAAGGTTGCCATTTTGCGTCGCAGCTCAACCGATTTGGGCAACTTTATCACTGGCCCTCATATAATCCTGCTTCTTTAACTGTTCGTAAATATCCATCAAACATGTCGTGAGAATGGCCCCAACGCTGAAAAGGAGTACAAGGATATACAAATCAAGATTCGCACGTACTTTCAACGTGACAGAGGCTATCACAATCTACAGTACAATTACTGCAGGCCGGTTTCCTAGATAAACCGCCCATTCGCGACAACCTTCATCGATTACCTTGTTCTTATTTACTTCATATTCGATTTCACCCGAAAGGAAATTCATTTACGTGAACACTTTTCCAGTCACTGCCCCCACCCAACTCCCTTTGGCCTCTCAATCCACACGTTCTTCTTATTCAGACATCCGCCGGTTCGAACCGACATTCACTACCACCATACTTAAACAACTGAATTATGCGCTTCATTATTGTGTGATTCCCACCACTTTTGTGTTCCCATCCACTCTTTCTATATGATGTAAGCCACGGTTTCATATGAAATATCGTTGAAATGTACACTGTATGCCCTGGTGCTGTCTTTTGTCAAAGGAAAGGCTATAGCCGAGCCATTTGCACATCAACTATTAAGGGAATTATCGCGCGCGGTTTAATGTTTCCATCAGCTCCAGTGGTCCCTTTACATACTGAGGACAACTTCAGTCGTTCTGTACTTATTTGCCTACCAACATAGGAGCAGCTTACGAAGGTCGTATGATACGACGTATAAAAGAACCACTTGTATGAATACCATCATTGTCAGCCTGTGTATGGCGTTGCACTGTCACTTGTGGGATACAACTAACGCGCTCCAGATCATGGTTCATAGGTCCTGGAGAGATTTAAGGCCTCCTAATCACGACGAATGTAATCACTGGGCCATACAACCTAAACCTGTGCAGCCTCTGTCCAACCGCCCAGCCCTTCCGGTCGAGGCGCACCGTACACATCCAATGGTAATGAAAACTGACCAGTTTCCAGCTGCCATGTTTTGAAACAATTGGACTCAGAAACTTTGTATTTCCATTTCATTTAGCGTATATAACTATATCAGTCGAACTAAAAGATTCGCCAAAACAATCTGACAGTCAAACTGGTTTCCAGCGCAGAAACCGAAGATTTCTACCCTTCTATGATGATAATTATCCAGCAAAGGTTGTTTCAGCATTCCATGAACAACCGTGCGCATTCGGCGCCGTCTGCAAAACGGACGATGAGTCAGTGAGGAATGTCGTAAACTCAGGCTGCTGCAGAAGTTGACGGCACCACCATGGAGGCCATTTGACGACTTGACTCAGTAAAGCCAAATTAGATGTTGGTCACCAGTCTAAAAGTACTCCTTGACCAAGAATAAGACGTACGAAATCCTTGCAGAGTTTCCTCTTGTAGGAGTGGACCGCAGTGAAATAATTAAGTATACTAATCACCCGGTACAGAGCGGTTCACCTTTCGCATCGCTGAGCATTCCTGCAAACTTCTAAACACCT